GTTTTTTTCACCATGAAAACCTTTAAGTCTTATACAAACATACCTACTGAACACCCTTAATCACGACTGGTTTAAAGACTAGTGAGTCATTAGCCCACCCCCCTCGTTCTTATTGTTCACTGCATGTAATTGTTAGACTGGTGAATGATTCTATGTGATCAGTAGGCTGCGTTGGCGCATGCATCCCAACCATCGCACTGCGTATTCCGGTCAACGTATGGCCTACTTATTGCACGGTATCGATTTCTGGCATGCCGCGCACGATGTGATCACAACGAAAGCACAGAATAGCCTCCCGCTTTTTACGACTGTCATTCGTTAGTCATTTCTGAATACTCCTGAAATACATTTGGGCAAAAATGTATGACTGCCTTTAAACTTCTCGTGTTCCTAATGCCGTCTGCCCGGCGTTGATTTCCCAATGACGTACTCGTGGTGACTTAAATGTGCGGACCACTTTCGAAAGAGATTATTTTATTCCCAGTATAATCTTTCCATTAAAGTTGGCTTTACTCTGTCAATATCGAAACACTCATTGAAATGCACTCCTACTTCATTTTCCACGAATTTGGTATGACTTAAATACTCTTCAAATTGTTCCATAGGTTTCCTTTCGAGGGCTTTAGCTAAGACAAACAGCAATAGGTCACGCCAAAAGTTACAGTCGCTTTTAAGATCTGTTTTACCGTAGGTAAACTGTCAAGACTCAAATAACGAAGCGGAACAAATGCAGACATTCACTCTCTTCTGTTTGGACTTACCACAGCGTTGTCGTACGGAACAATTACAAACATTCACATTTGCTATCCAAGTCCCTTCCACAAAAAGAACAAAGTAGCTTTGCCTCAGGGAGCCGGTGTTAAGCGTAACCGGACAGGCTTTATTTAGAAAAATGAATAGACACCGTTGAGTTATGGCTGAATCGCATTTCAGATGAAAGAGACACCGAGGAGTTACGTGTACATTGCATTTGTTTGCCGTAAGTATGTGGGATCATTACACGTTGTATGGGCCACTTTGATGACATGACAACTTCCTATATGTTCAGCTGATCCCCACGCTGTATAATCAAGCTCGGTGAAACCGGCGGTTATACGTCAAGATGCCGGACCCGTAAAGATCCGGATGCAGCAGAAGCAGGTGGACTCAAAATCTGCGCATGTTAACGACCAGTCGATCGAATTCGGAAAACCACGATCTCAATCATGTTGACCTTAAGGCACGGAACTTAACACTGGATAATGCAAAGCCAACTACCTCCTTTTTATAAGCAATGCCACCTGGTCTCCGTGTAGCTGTAGTCTCATTGGCAATGCACCATGTCAGGCATGTCCAGGTGCAATTTACGCAAACGACAGTGTTTATTATGCACCATGCATATTTAAATGCGTCGAACAGAGCCAGGGGTCATACAGGGGTCATTTTAAGCCCTGGACCTTCTCAGATTCCACATGAATTGCGCCATTGCGGCTGCCTTACAACTAGGTGGAAAGTTATAAAGGGTGACACGAGCATTTCCTCGTCAGCCATCTCATCATAATTACATTCATTTATGAAGGACATGATTAAATGATTGATAACTTATGACTCAACTCAATCGCCTCACAGCCTCGGGTGATTATCTCCGTATCGTTTACACGGGCACACGTCAAGATTCCATCAATTTTTGATGACTTGCTTGAGTCAGTGTTTGTCTCACTTTGTAGACTGGGGACATTAAAGTAAAAAAAATATATAACAGATGTGCCTGCACAAGGTTTCTCACGGACGCACCAGAACTGCTTCGATAATCTACGAAAAAAAAAATTTCAAATTTATTTTTTTTTAGTCTGCTTATTCTGGATTCTCACGCGTCAACTTAGTGCATTGGTGTATTGTTGCATTCACGAGAAGGATGCGGTAAAGTTTCCACGGGTGTACTGTTTCTGGTGTGAGACTGAGTCAAATCTATCACTGGCAAAATGTCACAGGTGTCAAGTTTGGTCAGGGTAACATTTACTCGAAAATTACGGATCCCTAGAAACAGACTACATTGCATATGCCAGCTCTCCGTTTACTTCACATGGGTAATATCCGATTCAGCGTAACTACGACTTCGGAGCGATCGTGGCCTAATTACAGGGACAAGCCCGCCTGGTGATTTGACAAACGTCTAGCTGTAGGTGTACATAAAACACGGACAATAAATCAGACTTGGTAATTCTCAACGAATTTCAACCTTTGCAGCCTATGGCTCTGTGCATGTCTTCCCCCCAAATGTTTTTATCCCTTTAATAAAAGACAAGAAAATCCAGAATGTTCATCTGTTATTTTTAAGAGCTGATATTGTAGCATACATGAACTGAAGCAAATAGCTTTTGTGCCTTACACCCGACCCTGGCATATCGAAACTGGCTTGCGTTCTGAATTTATCTGTGTACATCTTATCCCACAACATGAGGTACATGTACAGAATCACTGAGCTGCACTTTAGTATCATGGTATTTGAAATAACGACCAAAGCTCTGTTGATATGAGGAGGTGGATATCTTACATCGACACATACAATACATTCAGTGATCCGCTGCATTCAATTCGTCGTGATGTTAAGTGCTTTATACCCGGCGGCACTTTTTTCCAGGACGACAGGGCGGCAGACAAAGGTCGAATTTATGAATGATTTTCTCTCTCTCTGCATGTGTGTTTCTGTTACCGGGATATGAATGAGCCGCACTGAATGTCAAGAGTGGATAATGGCGGCGGGCTTCTGCTGTCAAATGTGCATGTTATGTGTTACTATGTCTGTTCTGTCTCCGAATTAGGTTGATTGCATATTCTGCTCCAACCTTCGCGAATCGAGTGTTTGTTGAGTGTCTCATATCAGTTGACTGCTTCTTCGTAAAAGGCGTCTACATGCACTAAATTCACCTCAAAATGGTAGTATGTTGTTAATTTAATTGCATTTCTAGTGTCGAGTTGCCGTGAAAAAAAAATGACTGAGCTACTGTATCCACTGTGTGACGGATTCCCCTAAACACCTTTTCTCTTCCGGCTTGTTGGTTTTGAAATGTTTATCATTGTCCTTTTCGCTTTTTGTTCTCGTCTTGTTTCGAAACTTATATAATTTTAAAATTTGCGGTGATATGAGCCGCAGATGTATTTGAGAAAGAAATGTGGATCTTTGTTGTGGATAATTATAACGATTTGGAAGGCAATGTGTGGCACTTGAAGCTCGTCTTAGAGTGCAATGTTCACGCAATGTAAATTAATATTAATTTTTTATAATCACAAGTTATTTTTTCTTGTATAGGCCTGGCCTGTATGTGTTCTTATCCTGTCACTGCATTCACCAAGTACCATGCTATGCATCGTTAGTTTAATTCACTACTGCCTGTCTTTGTGTAAACTTTCCCGACAGATCGATTGATCCATTCTAGCTGTACACTCATTGGAGGTTTGGTGCCTCTCTCTTCTCGTCGTAGGTAGATAGCTCTCTATGGCCACAGGCATTTTCCAATCTGCATTCTGTATCCATAGCCATAAACCTTTGAGCCGGCTTCATATCTGTCGCAGGATCACGTTAACTTCGTGTCACGTGCGGCTTTTTGAGAGACCTTCCGGGGAAACTGACGCTTTTCCTCGTCTGAGGTAAAGGTTTTCAAGTAATTCTAGCGGTAAGACACCGCCTGGAATTAATCATCATGTTAAACATCACCATAGCCCACGTCAGAACAAGCATCCTGGAATTTCACCAGTTTTACCGTAATAGACTCTAAATCTCCCCAAACCACGTGCTCACTCTGGCGCTTTTGATTAGTTTGCCTGTTACGACGAACATGCTACTTATTTCAGATGCTTGTGTACCCTTTTTTTCTTTTCTGTAAATTTTGCATCAACTTCAATGTTTCCCGTGTTATTAACATGTAGGAATAGTTTTCAAGCCGTTGCTTGAGTTTCATGTCAAGAAGCAAAATATGAGACACCGAAGGAGTTTCCTTTCAGCAAAATTATAGCTGTGGGTAAAAACAAGGTCAATAATACCGTACATTACACAGTAAAGGTGGCTTTCCTCGCAGGCTGATCTTCCCTAATTGATTGATAAAGAAGGAGTGTGGATGATAGGACAGTTGGGATGGTTCACGGACCCGGTCTTTTAATGGACACTGCCTCCATTCTTCTCAAAAGTACTACCGCAATTACTTAACTACGGCAGAAACAACCTGTTAATACGAATTCAATCTAATTCGAATTCTTTCTGTTAAATTCATTTGTTTCATAAATTTGGATGCCGTGTTTCGTTGAGGTAAGCATGTTTTATGGGTTGAGCTGTTTAGGACCGATATAGATGTATGAAATATTTGGCATTTAAATGAAGATTGTCTAAATATTAGATTTAAAAGTTTCATGCAGGACTGAAACTTCTTGAAACTAAAAATTCAGCTCATCATCGTCTGTCAATGCACTGCAAGATAGCCGACAGCAAGCCCAGAGTTTCTTAGAAATCAGCAAACATCGTCATCACTTGACCTAGGCCAACTTGATCGAGAATCCCCATCATAATTATACCGACCTTCTCCAAACACAGCTAGTCCATTAGTGCGGTAGTCGTTTTGGTATCTTCAAACACCTGTTTGTCCCACCCACGGATCTAATTGTTTTTCGTTTGGCTTGTCTCTGTAAATGTCAGTTTGTGTTTCTAATTAGTGCACACCCGAGTTTACGTTGTCATGCTTTTTTTTTTGGGAAAAACTAATTAAAACTCACAGCACAGAGGAACAACAACCGGTTGACCTTAAGTCTGTGCAATGTCATTTGCATCTTTTGTATAGCATTTACACATGCATGTGTACAATATTTACAACTTTTTGTTCCGTACATTCGTTTACTAAATTTATATTTATTTGATCACTATTAATAACTATTTTCTGTTTATTTTAAAGCACCAGCCCCATTAACAGATTCGAATATCGACTCAACTGAAAGAATTATTTTGCTACTTCAAATCTCACGTTAACAGTTATCGACGCCTAGGGTTACATAGCAAATGGTGATATCAATTTCTCCATTTCAATAGCATATATAAATCAGTTGCGCAATAATTAAGCATAGAACTTTAATTACATGTGTAAGGAGTATGGTCAGAGATCCAAGGTTGGAAACTATACGATGGATATCCTTACAGTTGAAACAACTTCCTACGGAAACGACTTGAGTTCTACCCATAAACACAACACGACTTTGATTCAAGAGATTTTTGTGGAAGGGCAGGAGTATATGCTTCAAAGAAAGGCGCATTGAGACGTTGCATAAGCGACCGATTGATAGACTAGCTCCAGTACAATGTACCTATAATGCAATGTTTGATTTGTTGCCGTTGATTATAGGAATTGATTTCAGTTTTCCCTCAATGAAATCTAGTGTGTAAGCAGACCTGTCACCAGGAACCGAAATTGTTTGGCTATTACTGAAATGAAACCCTTTCTTCTTTTTGTTCTGCGTCTTCAGTCAAATAATGGCTAGTATATGGTTTACCAAGGCGTAAAACGACGTATAATTCCCGCTGACAGCTTTGACCGGGGGCGTTAATCAGATCGAAAGTAAGACGGAGCCAGATCTTCCGCAGAAATAGACCTAACCAGCCAAGCGGAAAATTACATCCTCAACAACTCGGAAGATGGGGGGTAATGAATCCTCTGGACATCGGAATGCATCATCTTTAGCTTGAGAAAGTGGTTTCCTGCATCAGAACATTCATAACGCTATTGCCTCCACTTATTTGATTTACATTGATTTAACGTTAGATAATATTACAAGATGATTTGCGAGGTAACATCTTCAACGTACATGCTTGAATAGTTCCGGCCCCTACCAAGATGCTACAAAGAAACTGCAGAATGTGCCTACTTTTCTGTTGGTGTAAGGCAAATTGTCAACTTTCACGGTATTCTTTGTATTTGGTGAGAATGGATCGTTTGCACATCTCACTTGTTATCGTTGTTAGGATGCACTGCTCCCTCCTAAGTTTACAGACGAGCATCCGTGTCCAGAGCTTCTTATGGTGACGTGCCAGGCATTCCGCATCCTGCAAGGACCTAGACCTTACTCTAGACACAAGATTTGGATACGGCTACGTTAGTTGTCACCTTGTACTGCTACCAGTAAAGACCAAGACATAGCCCTAGATTCAAGATTTGGGTACGGCCACGTTCGTTGCGAGCCTTATAAGCTCCC